CAAAGCCCGATGAGGGGCTCTATCTCACAACCCTGAGATCATGACCTGAGCTGAAATCAAGAGTTGGACGCTTAACCGACTAAACCACCCAGACGCCCTTTTAACCATAGGGTCTTTATAAGACAGAGGCAGGAGAGTCTGAATCAGAGAAGGAGACAGATGACAAAGTGGTGGTCAGAGAGAAAAGAAAGAGAGAGATTGGAAGGTGCTACCTTGCTGGCTTTGAAAATGGAGGAAGGGGCCTTAAGCAGGCAGCCTCCAGAAGCTGGAAAAGGCAAAGAAACAGATTCTCCCCTAAAGCTTCCAGAAGCAATGGTAGCCCTGCCTACCCACTTTACACTTCTGAGTTCCAGGACTGTAAGAAAAAAAAAATTGTGTTGTTTTAAGCCACTAAGTTTGTGGTAATTTGTTACAGAAGGCACAGGAAACTAATGTAGTCCTTCATCGTATACAACCTTAACCCCCTCCATCATTTCCTTTACATGCCTCCTCTCATTGCCTAAAGGGGGGTGCTCCTCAAGCACAAGGACTGGGTCTTCTTCTCTGTCTCCATCAGAGTTCAACACAATGTCAGGTTCCAATCAAGTGCTCCATAATTAAATCTCCCTGGATTTTTATCAGAAACGAACAGAGCGGACTAAGGGACTGGTGGACAGCCGAGGAGCAATGGATGGGGTCTTTGAGATGCTGCGGATTGTCCTGAGCTACAGGCGGATCCTTTCAGCATCGAGGGAGGCGGGGAGGAAGAGTGCCGTGCATGGGTCCCGCTGAGCTTCTCACCTGATACAGGACTGTTACTTCCCTGTCTGTCTCCCCAGCCTGTCTCATCACCAGCAGCAGGATGATGGAATCCACAATGGTGAAGGCACTGAGCACGCCCATAAATACGTATGTATTTTCCAATCTTTTCAACTCATTTTCCACCAGTAAAAGAAGGCCTACGTTACTTCCGTCAGAAAAAGAACATTCTTATGCCTTCAGGTGTGAATGTAATGCATAAATCCTACCTCTGGGCCTCACTCTAACCTTGAGCAGCCCTCCTCACAGAAGCCCTCCTCCTGAGAGGGGCAGGCAGCATGGTGGCTGAGGGAGCAGCCTGGGCCTGGACCAGAATCCCAGCTCTAGCACTGCCCAGAGCTGTGACCTTGAGCTGGTCTTTGAACGTCTCTGTAGACTGGGGATAACAGCAGTATCCACTCCACAGAGGGTACTGTGGCCAAGGGTGGCACTCAGCCACGGGAAGAGCCAGCCCTCGATCAGAAGAAGGTGAAGTCGGTGGTAGGGCACAGAGTAGGCAGGCAAGGGGAAGCTGTCACACAGCATTTAGGGATAGCTGTGCCTTAGTGATCAGGCTCTTTTCTGAACCTCAGGATCAAAGACAACACGAACCCAGGATAGCACTGCCTGCCCACTTCGTTTTGCAGGGACTGACACTGACCCCCTTCCAAAGGTACTTTTCAAGGCACTGCCCGCTGTAGACTTCGAATCGAATAACACAGCCATGGAACCCTGTGGTATCGGAGCTTTGCAAATAAGTTACTCTCGGCTTCCCTAAGAAAAACTTAAGTCTGTCCAAAGATCAAGCAATTGAATGGTGAGGTGATAAATAACCTTTGCCTCTCCATTTTTCCATGACCAATCTTATGCCTGTCATTTTCCCCCTTCTCTAGTTTCAAAATGCACTCTTTTGAACACACCCTGTGTTTATCGCCTGTCTCCATATATTTTTAGTTAATGTTTCATGAGAATATCTATTGGTGGATTTCGTGGTTCCCACTGCACCTTTATCCTCACACTTAAGCCCATAGGTAAAGAGAAACATAAGAGATGAGAGATGTGCCTGGCACAGGAGAGCAAGGGAACATTTAAAACCCATGGGTCGTTTTTCAAGCTCTGTCAGTGTTTACTACAAGCCTAAGTTCTGACAACAAATAGCATTGGACCTCTTTTATTTTTTATTTTTTTAAAAGATTTTATTTTTAAGCAATCTCTACACCCAACAGGGTGTGTAGACAACTACAACCCCGAGATGAAAAGTTGCTTGCTTTACCAACTGAGCCAGCCAGGTGCCCCAGCACTGGGCCTCTTTTAATCAGAGGTCCTCCCCTGAAACTAAAGACGTGTAGCCTGAAAGACTGTTAACCAAAACTGTCCCAAATGTTTCTCTTAGACTTAATATCATACACACACACACACACCCATATATACAATATATGCCATGTGTTATACATAACATATATCTGTCCTATAATATACAGTTATTAAAATTATACAGTTATACATTATATAGTTATTAAAACCATTTCTTCAATATAGACTCAAGAAATACAACAACTGCCATGTTGAGTTTAGCTCACAGGTGGTAATTCGAGAGAACAGATGACTTAAGATGCTATTTCCACACTTGGAGAGATGTGAATTTGGCCTGTGATAATGGCGCTGTGGTTGTATAGAAGAATGTCGTTGTCCTTAGGAGATAAGATGCTAAGGTATTAAGGGGGAAAATCAGTTGGCAACTGATTCATAAATGAATCTGGGCAAAAGGTAGGTTTGTATTCACCGACTATGGCAACTTTTCTGTAGATTGGAAAAATTTTTTAAAGGTTTTGGAAGAAAAAGGTATTTTTTGCTACAATGGTTCAACAAAAGCTAACTTCCTCCCAAGTAAAACAGAGCATAAGTATAAAAACACCAGAAATTCTCTAAAATCTTGATTAAAATGCATTGCCAAAATCAGAATCTTTTTGCATAAAATCTTACAACTAAACCCAAAATGCTTATCTTTACTCCAAGAAGTGAGTTCCTATATATTCAACATTGGTGAATACCAAAGTCAAAGAATCTGTAATAAAAGCAAGAATAACATATACAAGGACAGTGAAGGCACATGGAATGATAAATGCTCAGGATGGGTGGGAAGTTTTTTTTGGGGGGGGTGGGTAGTTTTTAAGAAACTATAAGATTTCACATTTGTTCTCCGAGGTAAATAAGGCCCTAGAAGTTTAGAACTAAAAACTGTCAGAGAAAAATACAGTTCAATAGTACAACGCTCAATTTATACACGATATAATGAAGTGTCAGACAAAATTATACAAGTGTGGAAGCGTGCAAGTATTTAAAAGCTGATAAGACCTCTTAAAGTCAATCTGGAAACCTTTATTGTGAGTTAGATCAGTATCAGATTAATGTCCTCTGGAAATGTCCTTGTTCTTTCATGGAACTCTTTCCAATAGAAATAAATTTAGTCTTCAACTTTAAATCCTGGCAGTTGCACAAGTTTGAAGTATTTCCAATTGAATAAAAGTAAGTCAAGTGTTTTCGCAAGTTTTTAGAATGATTAACAAAATATATTTGGGAGGCGCCTGAGTGGCTCAGTCTTTAAGCATCTGCCTTTGGCTCAGGTCCTGATCCCACGGTCCTGGGATCAAGCCCCACATCGGGCTCCCTGCTTGACGGGGGGGCCTGCTTCTCCCTCTCCCACTCCCCCTGCTTGTGTTCCCTCTCTTGCTGTCTCTCTCTGTCAAAAAATAAAATCTTTAAGAAAAAAAACAGTGAATTGTATACTTCTAACAGATGAATTGTATGGTATATAAATTATATCACAATAAAGCTATTTAACAATTTTTTTCAAAGCAGGCCAAAGATATTAATTAAGCAACAAGCTCTTAGTGTGTTTAAGATTCATAAAAATCATCGACATTACTTTTATGTCTACTGTAAAGAAAAACAAACCCTAAATCAGTCTTATTTCTATCAAGACAGACGCAAATTTTCAATATTTTGAACACTATGCTCTTTTATAAAAGCTTAGTTCGATGAGCACCGAACCCTTTACAGAAGATACAATTTTAAAACATTACATTTCTCACTAACCATTTTTTGTCTCTTAGGCAACTATTTGAACCAAGTTTCAAAGGATTTGAAAACATCAGAAAGCTGCAGAATCACTGCTAATATCCAAGAAGAGAAAAAAATTCTTCTATTCTGAACGAAAAAAAGTCACTTAGAGAGCAATGGTTTCTTATCCAGAGAAAGTAGAGAAATGTGTGTACCTTGAAACTTTTCCTTTTTAAATTTCATTCTTACTAGGAAGCTTTATATTCTTTAGAAGCTGTTTCTCACCCATAAAGGAGAAACCCATACTCCTGGTCTTATTCTTCTTCAAGAAGGCATTTTTCTAAGATATGCTTATAATTTCACGGGAATGATGCTGGACACCCAAGAAACCTGGGTTCCCTTTCTCTCCTTCCAGCTTTTCGGCACCTCGCACGTTCCCTTTCATCACACTCTTTGCACCTGCTTTGAGGCCAGCAGGGCTAACAGCTGTCCCGGGCATGGCTGGATGTGCAGCATCTAGCACAGTGCCTATGGCTCAGAGTAGGCACTCAAAATATATTAAATTGAATTCAGGGCTTTGCGGGTTTTCTCACTTTAAGTTAGTCTCATATAAAATGTTCATCTATGAAAGAAAAGTGCCACAAAAATTCGAATAACCTTATCGGGAGTAGAAGATGGGCAAATAGCAGACGGCAAGCCACATCATATTTTGCTCTCCCTATGCCCAAGCTACTGGGGGAGCAGAGAAATCTACTTCTCAGACATAACGGCTCTCCTCCTCCACGAAGTTCGTAAATTAGTGGCTAAAACCAGTCAGACATGAAACAATTAAACAGGGAGCTGGTTTCAGTGTAGTGGAGAGAATGGTGGATTGGAGAGAACTTGCTCCCAGGGGCAAGGTCATCTCCAGGAGCGGCAGCAAATCACAAAGGAGCTCCCCGGGCAGCGTGTCGTGGACATCGAATGAGAAGGGGCATTCACAGTTTCCCAACCCTGCCAGGGAGAGGAATCCAGAAGCAGGAGGACTAGCAAGGGCTTGGGGGGAGGGGGGCGGCGGGGAATGCAGGTGGGAGGAAGAGGTGCAGCAGCAGGGGCTCCTGGAAGGGGAAGCTGGCGAGGTGGAAGGGGTAGGGTTAGCCTCGGGCTGTGCAGAGCCATGCTAACCACACCCACTGTCATAAAACCAATGATCGGAGAAACTTACTTAATATTGAATTTTCCGTTTTGAAAACAGTTCTTCGGATTCCCAGCCTCATCGTTCCTCCCAAATTGCCAGGATTGTGTTCGGGCATATCAATCACCTTAGAGAACAAAACAAGTCTGGTTTTGCCATCTCATACAAATGTCATTTCCCACATTTCAAGCTTTATTTTTTTTTTTTTTTAAGATTTTATTTATTTATTTGACAGAGAGAGCACACAAGCACAGAGCAGGCAGAGGGAGAGGGAGAAGCAGACTCCCCACTGAGCAGGGAGCCCCATGCGCGTTCGATCCCAGGACCCAGACCCTGGGATCATGACCGGAGCTGAAGGCAGACGCCCAACCGACTGAGCCACCCAGGCATCCCCAAGCTTTACTTTTAGAGTAATGATCATTGGGGTAAGGATGTTCCCTAAACAGTAAAATCTGATCGTTCCTTCCAATTTTCTTATTCAAATACAGCCATGCTTTACACAGCCCTCACGGTATGCTCTCTTTTCGTCTTTGCTTCTCATCTTTCATTCAAATCACTTGTAAAAAATTTATCAAGAGCCTCTTTATGACCTTCCTCCTGTCATTACTCAAGCTGTCAGTTCCAGGCAATGTTCACACTTCAAGTTCCGGCCTTCTGGGACCTCTCACTTTGCTATTCACATCCCTCCCCAACTGCCCACTTCACTCCCTAAAGATTTTCCATAAGCAAATCTGCCAATCCTTGTGGAAAAGTACACCAAAGATACTTTTTTGTAGAAAACCTTAGAAGGATTCCTTTAAACAAAAAGGGAGGTAATGTCATCCATTCTAGCACATTCTGTATGTCGTAAACTTAAGGGCCACCCTGGATCTCTCCCTCTTCTTCATCCCTCATCTCCAATGTGTCCAGTCCTATCAATTCACCCCCTCCAGACTTGCGGCATCCGTCCATGGCTCCAACCACCACCCAAACCACAGCCCCTCACCCGGGCTATATAGCCAGAGCTTTCCAAACGGCTGCCCCGCGTTCACGTGGCCCCAGTCTACCCTGCACACTGCAGGCAAAGTAGCTGTATTTCCCCAGCTTGAAATCTTTGACTGAGTGGTATCAGCCCAGCCTAGTCCTCCAGCCTCACGTCCCATGACCGTCCCCTGAGTTCTGGTCAGTGTGGCCTTTCTTCCGTTCCTCCAATGCATCTTCTTTCCTCCCCACACGGGACTTTGCACATGCTGTTTCCTCTACCCAGAGCATCTCCCATTCCCCTACCTTCTTTTCCTAAATTAAACCAGCCTCAACCTTGGGATCTTAGCTCAACAATCAATATGAACTCCTATGGGGAGCGGATACTCCCAGGCGCCATAGCCTAGTCAGGACCCTCTATCCCTACCCTCCCTGCCACTGTGCTTCCCTCAGTTCATGTCTGTAGAGCGCTTTGTGTGTCAGACTGTAATCCTTGAGAGCTGTTTTTCCTTACATGGCATTCCCATCCCCTTGCATCTATGGAACTGGCCCAGGGTGTACACTGAATGAATCCATGACAGAAGTAAGGAATGAACTCAGACCAAATAATTTCAGATTTATCTTTATGATTACTTCACAGAAATTCAGAAACATGTGATTTTTTTTTTTTTAAGATTTCATTTATTTGACAGAGAGAGATACAGCGAGAGAAGGAACACAAGCAGGGGGAGTGGGAGAGGGAGAAGCAGGCTTCCCGCAGAGCAGGGAGCCCGATGCGGGGCTCGATTCCAGGATCCTGGGATCACGACCTGAGCCAAAGGCAGACGCTTAACGACTGAGCCACCCAGGCGCCCCAAGAAACATGTGATTTTTATGAAAAGCCCATTCTCATAAGTCATTGCTCTGTTTTCCAACCTCCAGTCGCTATGATCTCATGGTTTTGTTTCATCTATTGTTTTTTTTAAGCTGTTAGACCATAGGTAGGCAAGGTAACCTGCTCTAATGGAACTGCTCAGGTTTCCCTCTCATAAAACCTTTCGTTCAGTTTCTTCCCCCATATCTTAACTGCCACGTATTACTCTATAGGAAGCCTGGACAACTGGAACTTCCTGAGGTCAAAATTTTCCCAGAACTTGTATGATCTTATCAGCGCCCCAGAACTTTCCGAGCCGTCTGAACCCTGTGTCCCAAGTACACTCTAAGAGTCACTGAGGGGAAGGGGTGGAGAAAAAGTTTGATTACTCCCCTTGTTGGATGGAGTGCTCAGTTCTGAAGTGCTCTTGGCCTTGGCATCTATTTGCTATCTTCTTTGGTTGGCTAATTATGGCTAGATTAAGTATTACTAGAGTGAGGTGAGAGAGGGCATTAGCTTCTAGTTCTCAAAGCTGAGCTGCTTATAAATGCCCAGCCCCTTATGCATTTTCTAGGAAAGGGCAGATAAGACTGCACTACCCACCACAACCTCAATTTTCGCTTAAGTTTAAGACAATCTGAACCATGTAGGAAGAGCACAGTGATAAACTCCCCCCTGGCTTCTTAGAAGTTCTGTGATTGTTCAATCCATCCTTACTTTCTGCGTTGGGTTCTTCTGCCCAGGAAGAGTCTCTGAACGTAGTTTGTGCAGTTATTGGCGTGCTTGGTGTTTAAGAAATGTTCTGCTATGAACCACTAAGAAAACTCAAATGACCTACCTGAGGACAGGAAACCTGCCTTACCACTCACTTGAGATGAACTTGACAAACACAAGACTACTACATATTTCCAAAAGAAAAATGCAGTGGGCACAGGGGTGGCCTGAGGGCATTAAGTACTCCTCTAACATAAATGGAAATCTGGAAATCTCTGAGAGAGCAAGATGAGAATATTACTTAAACACATGGAGGTAGGGGGCACCTGGCTGGCTCAGTCAGTAGAACATGTGACTCTTGATCTTGGGGTGGTGAGTTTGAGCCCCATGTTGGGGGCAGAGTTTACATGCATACATAAAAATAAAAAAAGGTGGAGGTAAATATCAGGAGAAACAGCTAGAAGACTTGAGGGTGGCAGAGAGGGTGTGAGGATTACTAAATATTTTCATTATAGGCCTTTTGGAACATGTTGGCTTTGTAAGCTTTGTACATAGTATTATGTTAATGAGAATACAAATTTAAAGCCCAAACAGTGAAATAACTTATTTCGACCTTCCACTAGGCTATTAGTTCACATTATCCCTGCTGTTTTCAGAAGCAATAACTATAACCTTCTCCTGAAATGATAACACAGAATGAAATCCCAAGGAATGGTAGCCACAGTGATCCTCTGATTAAAACGTGTTAGCACAGAAACCAGTGGAGAAGGCAAAGAAAATGCTAAAGAGAAGATGAGGGAGCAGAGGCAAGTGGCTTTCTGATGCAGAGTGATGCCCCAGACGTCAGTGAAAGGCCAAAAGCAGAGTGAGAACTGGCAGGAGACTTGCTGTTCTCTCTGGTCTGGCTCAGGAGGTCTCGTCTGGGGATGCTCATCAGACCCTCAGACAAAGGACCCCCAGACCATGCACAAGCTGGTGCAATCCAAACACACTGGAAGGGGAAGGTTGCGGAAGGTAGAGAACACAGTGCATTTCTGCCGGGCCCAACCAGCTGCAGTACGACCGACTGCTTCTCAGGTTATAAGCAACCTGATTCAGCAACAAAATTAAGGAAAACATCTTTGTGCCTGGTATTCCTTCCACGATAAGCCTGAGAGACGTCAGTTTCAAAACATATCCTTTATCATTACTGGGGTAGTTAAAAAAAAAAACACGCAGGGCACCTGGGTGGCTCAGTCAGTTAAGCGTTTGCCTTCGGCTCAGGTCATGATCCCGGGGTCCTGGTATGGAGCCCTAAGGTGGGCTTCATGTTCAGTGGGGAGTCTGCTTCTCCCTTTTTCTCCCTCTGCCCCTCCCCACCCCTGTTTATTCTCTCTCTCAAATAAATAAATTAAATTAAAAAAAAAAAACGCAAATGTGCTTTAGTTTTAATCCCGACATTTCCAAAATACCCTAGATTTGCGTGTAGGAGGAAAATGCCTCTTCCATTGCAAAAGGATTGCCTTGGCCTGCTCTGACTTTGCCTAAGCACTGCCTGTTGTTTGATCCCGACCACAGATCTGTCCTTTCTTGGAACAGAGCCAGCCATACAGCATAAGAAAAATAAAAAAGGATCAATAAGTAACGAATGTTGGTGGTGATAAAGCTTTAGATGTAAAAGTACCACATAAGGATAAATACAGCACTAATTAACCTTTACTGAAGTTTCTGCAGCCCACGATAAAAGTGTAATGGGTTCAAGCCTGGGTTCATGCGTTGCACATGCCTTAACAACAAAGTCTAGGGAAGTTAGGTTCTCTTATCAAAGATGAAATTCCAGTGTGTGAGGTAAGTCAGCTTCCCTCCCACCAAGGGGTGTTCATAAAGTATGAACTCATTCTGTGTTACACCGCTAGCTCTAGTAGCCTCCATCACTACCGATCAACTCGACACTCTTCCGCATGTGGCACTCAGGTTCCACACCTCATTCAGGAACCCAGTCTGGCTATGCTCTCCTCACGTGTTCTAACCTGTGGTTTCCACCTTGGCCAGACAGGTCCATTGCTGATGCCTCCTCTGCTCCCCCCGCCCGCCCCCCCGCCGCCAGCCCCTCTACATATATATCGCCTCTTCACTACTTTTCCTAAAATGTCTTCTCCCCACCATTCCACATGGGCCCATGTTTTCGGGACACCCTCTTGTTCTCCTTAACTGACCCATAATTAACACCGTGTTAGCATGCTCACCTTACCAAATAAATCACCTATATGCTGTGAATTCATCTTGAACTAGTCCTTGTGGTAGGCTGAATAATGACCCCACAAAGAGATCCACGCCCTAGTCCCCGGAACCTGTGAAGAGGTTACCTTACATGGCAAAAGAGACTTTGCAGACATGAGTAAATTAAGGCTCTGGAGACGGGAAGGCTATCCTGGGTTATCTGGGTGGGCCCAATGTAACTACACAGTCTTTATTTTAAATTTTTTTTAAGATTGATTTATTTATTTGAGAGAGAGAGAGAG